TAAGCACATTGAAATTAGACATCACTTCATTAGAGACCATGTCGCTAAGGAAGATGTAGTTCTAGAATTTGTTGATACTTTGCACTAATTTGCGGATATCTTTACAAAACCTTTATACAAAGAAAGATTTTGGACACTTAGGAGAGAATTAGGTTTAACTGGCCTATCTTCAGTTAGTGTTTAAAATAATTTTAGCACTTTTAAGAATAAATGAAAATTGCTTATAATAGTAATTTTTGATTGCATTCATTGTTATTAGTTAGGGGTAGTTTATGCTCTTTGGTGAAAATTAATTTTATGTTCAAATGTAGTTTAAGAATTAATTCATTGATTGAACATGATTAATTTTCAATATATGAGTTGCCAATACCACTAGAGCTAATTAATTTAGCATTCTGAGTGTTTTAAAACAGATTTTTGACATTTTTGTGCTTCATGCATCGATACACTTAATAGTGCATCGATGAATCCCTTTGAATGTGCATCGATACACCATGAAGGTGCACCGATGCACGCCTTGAATGTGCATCGATGCACACTGCCATGCATCGATGCATCCGTTGGATTTTGGGTTTAAAAAGCTTATTTTCTTATTTGTTTCAAACCCTAAAACTACACCCTCATCAGCCGCACGCCTCTCTCACTCTCTAAATTCTCCTCTTACTCCAAAATAATCATTTTTAATCAGAATTCATCCTCATTTCATCTCAAAGTCCTGTTACTATCATTAAATCGTGCAAAACAACATCTCATTCTCATCAATCCAAAATTTTCAAGGTATTTTTTAAAACTTCTATTTATCATATTTTGATCTTAGGACTAGTTTTAATTAGTTCTAGGATGAACATTATATCAGGAATTGATTGTTTGATGATTTCAAACTAGATTTTACAACCAATTTCATCAAAAACTCACAAATTTTCAATTTTTTTTGAATTTTCGAAATTAAAAAAAATCAAAAATCTGAATTTAATTTTTAAATTTGATGTTTTTTATTTAATTATGTTGTTTTCATGAAAACTATACATATTATGATTTTTCAAAAATTATTTTCAAATAGTTTTCAAAACCTTGCCCATTAGGATTCGGTTTAGAGAACCTTGAATTATTAAGGACTCAATTGAGTTTTGGGATTGATTATTGTGCATACATGTGTTTCAAATTGCAAGTTTCATTCCTTGTTCCGATACCTTAACCATGTCCAATCCTAAACATCCTAGGACTTCATCGAGTCGTTCAACCCGACCTCCTAATCCCATTCCTCCTCCACCTAATAGTCTTATAGGATCTTGTTTTAATATGCATGAACGTCGTAGAGACGACTTGTACTCTAGGTACATAAATTCTTTCCAATCCTATAGAATCTGTGAAGAGCGTATTCCGTCTCTTCAAGCCATGATAGATATTGACTTTGAATACCTTCCGATTCTTAAAACTTGGAAGTTTGATAAAATGTTTCACCTCAAACCTATCGTCTATCATCAGTTAGTCTGCATTTTCTACTCCAATGCGGTATGCATTCAAAACCAAACTCAATGTGGGACTATAGCAATTACATCATATCTTTTAGGCCAATATATTAATATTGACCCCGAGACTATAGCTTTCCGTTTTGAGCTAGATGATGATGGGTTATATAATGAGAATGAAACTGTGGAATATCCCTATGTTCCAAACTCTAGTGTTAGTACTCTACGATCTCATCACAATCGTTTTCTTCATTTGATGATCTCTTGGTGGTTTAGACCATCCGGAGGTAGGTACTCCACTCTTTGTACTAGGATTTATGGTGGATGCACTGTATCAAGAATAAGAACAAAATAAATTGCTCCATATTATATTTAGTCAACTAGTGGATATCATAAACATTGTTCCTTCAAAACATGCCGAAACATTAGTTTATGGATGTCTTCTTAGTAATCTTTTTATCAAACTTGATCTAAACGTCTCTCTCGACAATCTCATCCCTCTCCAAAATCAAATCAATCTCACCTCGTTAAAGAAAGCGGATTGGAAACAAGTCGAGGAAACCAGTCTTTGGGTCTTTCGACCCGGTAAGCAAACTCCGGGAGCGAGTTCTTCATGAGCTGCTCCTAGCTCCTCTCGTGCTCCTACTCTCCTCCGACTCCGGCTGTTGACGATGATCCCGAACTTCAACAGCTTATGCAAGATATCGACGATCACGTACCAGATAATGAGCCTGCACCGGAACCAGCTCCACAAGAGGATCAAGTGCCTCCATATTTTCATTCGTTTTTGGAGACATTTGATCTACGATATGCTTCCATCGAATCCCACTTGACTGCTACTCACGAAGCGGTAAATCATCGCTTAGATACTTTGGAAGCTCGACAGATGGAGTTTCAAAGGGAGATGCTTGCACGTATGGATGCTCTTTCTCTTGAGATGCAAGCACGATTTCCTCCTCCTCCTCCTGATCCTTCTATAGACGAGTAGACCTTGTTTTATTTTGGAACAACTTAGAACTTTAATTGTTAAAACATTTTGAATGCTTTGGGATTGTTTTCTATAGTTTGACGTTTGTTTGGATTTATGATTTATATGTTTGGATATTTAAGCTTATTATCTATATTTGGTTTGGTTTTAACATTCAATTTGAGCTTAATGTTTATTAATTTTTGCATCATTAGACATATATGACCAATTATCCATTACATGTTTATGAATATTGTTTATGAAAACTAATGGCTAATCTCTTTTGATTGTGATCTTAGCAGCTTAATCTTATTTACTTATAATCAATTGGCTATGTTTTTAAAAACCTTGTTTAAAATATTTTAGAGTCTTTTTGATTTAACAAAAAGGGGGAGAAGTGTAAAAGTGCTAAAGGGGAGAAGTGTTAGAGTAAGGGGGAGTAATTTCAAACTTGATTTCAAAATTTATTTTCAAAATCTTAAAATTACACAAATTTTGTTTTATCAAAAAGGGGGAGATTGTTGAAAACATTTTAATTTTTCGATATAACAAATTAAATTAAATGAATTTTAAGATTTTACAAAAGATTTTTTTATAAGTATATTCGACTTAATCGAATATCAATTTATTACTCCAAGTCTTTCAAGATCAATTTCAAACCTTACTAAATGTGTAAAATTGTGTTTTATACTTAATATATTTTTGAAACAATTTTCACAAAGTATTTTGAACCAAAATCAAGCCTAAAATCAATTTTTCAAAGTGATGCACCGATGCACCAATCCATGCATCGATGCACCATGGAATAAATTGAACATTGAATGAATTTCATGCATCGATGCACATACCATGCATCGATACACTCAGGGTTTTATGAAAACATCGAATGCATTTGATGCATCGATGCATCAGCCATGCATCGATGCACTCAGGCTATTTTGAAACATCGAATGCATTATATGCATCGTTGCACTCTTAGTGCACCGATGAACTAAGGGTCAAACAGTCAAAATATTTGAATTTTACACTTGATGCACTGATGCACCTAGTGTATGCATCGATGCACTGAAGCTCCCAACTGATTTTATTAATTGTTTTCACACTTAAATGGCTCTATTGACTCCACTAATCATCCCCAACGTTCAGAATCAATTGAAGGAGTATTTAAACAAGCTTAGAAGCCATTGATCAATAACAAGAAAACACAAGAAACAAGAATCAAGAGAGAATCAAAGAGAAAACATCAAACCTCAAGTTTAAGCATTTCAAGCCTATTTTTCATTCAATATTCATTTTGCTTTCAAGAACACTACTTGTACTCAATTGTATTCATTTTTGAGTGTTCTTTTCTTTGTTCTAGAATTGTGCAAACAATCTACCTTTTGAGGATTTCCTTGTAAGTTTACAAATTTGTAATCTTCTATTTGAGAAAGAGTGTTCTCAATAATTGGGGTATATTCTTGAAGGAGTTGTAAGGTTATCTCTTTGGCCTCAAAAGAAAGAACAAATTAGTGAATTTGTTGGAAAATCCTTAGTGTGGATAGCTAAGGTAGTGGACGTAGACTTTGGTTGAGAAAGTCGAACCACTCTAAATCGATGTACAAATCTTTTCAATTTTCTGCAAAAGCTTCCACCAAAAGTTTAATTGCCAATCCACCCCCTCTTGGCCAATTCCATCGATCGATTAACTCAACAATAGCGCTTACTTAACATAATATATAACGCTTATTTTATTTTATCGTTTACATTATTAATAACCTTTAAACAAACCGGTGGGTATTTTAACGTACTACGTAGCACCTATTTTATTTTACCATTTACTTTATTAGTAACCTTCAAACAAACCGGTAGGTGGTTTAACATAATAGATAACACCTATTTTATTTTAACCGGTTAAGTTTTAAATATAAGTATTAATACATATAATATATGTATAGATATTTTTTTTAGGACAATAGTTGGACATACTTTTAGAGTAAGTATAGATACTGAAACTATGCAATTTATGTTTCAAATTTTTTTATTAGTTATTTATGTTTTTCATCTACAAACATTAATTTAATAATTTCATTTACATAAAAAATTACTTGATTATTTAGATTTTTTTATAAAATATTATTTAGAATTTAAATTTAACAATTTTAACTAAAGATAATAATAAATATGTAAAATATATGTTTATTATTTTAATTTAATAATAATATGTACCGTAACATAAAAATAAGTTATTAGTCGCTTATAATTACTAAACTAATATCTTAAAACTCACTCAAAAGGTAACCTAAATTAATATTTTCCATAGCGAAGTAAGTATGGATACTTATATATATGCATCGATACCTACCGATAATCAAAATTTACCGGATACTTTTCAATAACGTTGTGACTATTTCAATAACGTTGTGACTATTTCGTTGCTTTAGAAATTTCAATAGGAAAAGAAAAACATACTCATACTTCAATGATCATTTTGCAGTTACCCTAAAACTAATAGCAAAAAATAATTCAAAAGCCTTCGTTTCAGTTTCAGATCCATTTTGTCACTCTTTTCTGCAAGCCTCTCTTATCTTGTACCTAAAACCCTAGGTGGAAAAGCAAAACCCCAGTGCCATTGATCGTTGTTAGGAGCAGGAACCAAAAACAATGAATGTAGTAATAGCATCATCTTCAATCGACGGCGGCATAGGTTGCTGGGACCTACAAACAGGGGCGGAGCAACTCCGTTACAAGACTTGCGCCTCTCCTCCCCACGGCCTTGCCTCCATCGGTTCTAGTTTCCTCGCCTGCTCTCAACTTCGCGACCCCTCCGCCACCTCCGGCCACGTGCTCTATTGGTCTTGGTCCAAGGTTTGCTCCTTTTAATCATCCAAACTCTTCCCACGCTTATCACCAAACATTCTCTTCTTCATGTTATCATTTCTTTCTTTTACAGCCTCAAGCTCAAGTTAAAAGCTTCCCCGCGGAACCCATTAAACCAATTGCTGCTAATAGCGAAGGTAGTTACATTGTTGGTGGAGGTTCATCCGGCGATATTTACTTTTGGGAGGTAAAAAAATTCAATTCTTTGTTTACTTTTAAGTCTTTTATTTGTTAATTGAAGCTAATCCTTTTCGGCTGGTTTTTGTTTCACTATTTAGGTTGCTACGGGTAGGTTATTAAAGAAATGGCACGCTCATTATAGGGCAGTTACATGCTTAGTTTTCTCCGAGGATGATTCACTCCTCATTTCTGGGTCAGAGGATGGATGTGTTAGAGTTTGGTCGCTTTTCATGTACTTGTTCCTTGTTCTGACCCTTACTCCTTTGATCAATTATGTTTGCCTATCTTATATTCTCATTTGATTATTGTGGTTACTAATTGTGAATAGTTTGTGCTTTTGATGTGTATTGTAAATTAGGATATTTGATGATGTTAGACAGCAGCAGGCGAGTCATCTTTATGAGTATAGTTTTACTGAACATACTCTGCGTGTAACCGATATCGCCATGGGTTATGGTGGAGGGAATGCAATTATTGTGTCGGCTTCTGAGGACCGCACGTGTAAGGTTTGTTCTGCTTTTGGTTGAAAGCCCTAATGCATGTTTTTTGTTGGTAGATTGGTGATTAGAGTGTTATTCTGGACTATGCATTAAACTGAAAAGAAGGAAGCATTAGGTGGCAAGTCTTTGCATCACCCAATGTATCTATTCTATTATACTCTTTTTATCGTAAATTGTGTTTTGGACTGGTAACTTTGGAACTAAGGAGTGCTCCCGTTATCAAGGGATACTTTCTGACTGTGAGATTATTGGTCTGAGCTATATGTTAAAGCATTTGCTTAGCATGAATTGAATATTAATAATGGTTGTAACTAGTGTGGATTGCCTGAGCAACTAATGCATCAGGATCAAACTAAAGCATTTGCTAAGCATTGTTGTTGTTCACAATTTCTTTTTTTTTATGGAATATCTATCGACTCATTTTTTAAGTACATAATGTGTTTGTGTTGCAGTCTTTTGTGCTAATATATGGCATTAGCTGTATGGTCTACTAGATCCTTTTTAAAGGGTTCCTGATTTAATATGCATTGCTAATAGGTATGGAGCTTATCAAGGGGAAGATTATTAAGAAATGTTGTGTTTCCTTCCATCATTGATGCAATTGCAATAGATTCTGGTGAACATGTTTTCTATGCTGGTGGTCGAGATGGTAAAATTTATATTGCTGCACTTAATGCTGAAAGTTCCCCAAGCAACAATTATGGATTGCACATCATCGGTTCGCTAACTGATCAAAGGTGTTATTTTGTTATGTTCTGACAATCTTTTTTGTATGTTTTTGTTTCACCCATCTTTACAGCATTCTCAAGTAATTATGCAAGGATAGTCTATGTTGGTTGCCATCATATCACTTTATACTTTCTTTTAGTCCTTAAAGAGGTGCTTGGGCTTGCGCTCTTAGCTATTGAAGCCAACTCACTGTTTGATGGCACAACATCAAATCCAAAAACTGATCCCTTAGGTTGAAGGTGGAATTTATAGATATTTATGATAGTTATGCATCAAATACAAATGTAATAAAGGAAAAGTTCTGGTGAATATTGCATGTCCCTGTCTATGTTTTAAAAGGTTTCCTCTTACCTCTTAAGTCTTACCCATTTTCTAACAGTTTTACAATCTTATTTTTGGACAGTAAGCCTGTTACTTGCATGGCATATAGTGCAGAAGGAAATTTGCTACTATCCGGATCAGAGGATGGCATGATTCGAGTTTGGGACATGAAAACTAAAAACATTGTTCGCATGTTCAGACATTCCAAAGGTATCATTTAAACAACTAGAAATGTTTACGTTGTTTTATTGATGGCACTGATCAGATTGTGTACTTTTAATTTTGGGTTCAACTTCTACTCACACTTTGTCCATCTTTTCATTTTGTTTAAAACGGATGTCATATAAAAATACAGATTCTGTTTCTTCACGTCTACTTCTAATCTAGGCCGCATGCATTAATATATTAATGCTATCTTAGAGGAGAAAAAAAAGTAAGAAATATGAACTGTCTTCTATCGAGCAATCTGAGCTTTTGTTTTCTTTGTAATTTTGTATACGGTGCTTCATTCTTCATTTTGGTGTGGCTTTCCTTTTCATTTTTTTACAATTCCTTTCAATGATGTTCTTTATCATGTACATCCATAGCATGTAACTGATGTTCATCATATTCAGGTCCTGTGAACAATATTCTCATTGTTAGACTCTCATACCCCCTCAATCGGTCAGAATCAAAAGTGCAAGCTTCCTCAAGAAGGCATGAATTTTCACTCCATCCTCCACTAGAAAAATATGCAAATTCAAGCGATGAAGACATCGATAACAAGACTATCATTACACTCCCAGATACTATAGACCTCCCTTCATACCTCAGTTCTCAGCTAATCAACGATCACATTAAACAGCTTCAGGTTTTCTTTACTGCTTATTATATGCTCATGGGTCATGTAATTAGTGTGATCTCGATTTCTCATACTCGTTACTGCTTTTGATATCAAGCACCATGGTGGTCATCTGTATAATTTTCTTATGATTACTGACTTGTGATCATATGATGTTATATATTTTGTATCCTCTAAACTCGACAGCCTTGTCTGATAGACTCCTGTCACCCCATTGTTTACAGCAACAAGGATCTTCAGCTGCGGCTGAAATGGAGGTGAAGAGACTAAAGCTTGACGGCCAACGATCAATGGAGATGTTTCAGCAATTGAAAAAAGTGTATGACAACTTGCAGGAATTTTGCGTCAATGAGCTCTTAGATGGACAACCAATGGACGGATCCAAAGGGAACTAAGTCATTCACAGTTTGAATGAAAAGACCATCAAGTTTTCATTTCTAATTTTCATTGTTGAATTAGTTTTTCATCTACCTAGTTTCGTTATGTCATGATAGATTACAAGAATCCCATAGCAAAATTTTGCACCTTAAATGTGAAGCATTCTGGAAAAACTATTTAGATTCAAGACAGATGAGCAATGTTCCTGGTAGGAGTTTCTGTGGTAGCAAAACTACAAAAGTGAGCACGACTCTAAAGTAGTACGCCACCTACTTGTCAATAGTTTTTAAGGCTTCCATTCACTTGGGTTAAAAAATGGTACATCTTTATGTATTCAAGAAAATACGATCTTTTTTAGCTTAATTTTTATATATTCTATACGCTCTCATATTATATTGTTAATATCGTGATATTGACTTTTACTATGACAGAATGAACTCTTAGATTAAACGATAAATTTTGAATTATTTCGAATTAATTATTAGTATTTGATCTATTGATCGATTAATTCAGACTAGATTTTATAAAGACTTATTATAGGGTGATTTTTTTCAACTAATTTGCACTATTTGTTTAAGAAATTAGTGTCTTATCTAATATACCGATTTGAGTTTAAGTTTATACTTTCTACTTGTTTTTTAGAATAACAAATTATCTAATTTAATATATAATCAAAATTTATCTTGAAAATTAGTTTATCCTTTTTCATTGTTTTACATTATATTTTCATTATACTGAGAGTTGCTGCTTGTTTTGGGCCCAACTTGAAATTTTTTAAGCTTAAATTCAAATGCAAATTTATTAGTCATCTACTCAATTTTGACAATTTATACACCGGACCACATACGATCAGTTTAACCAACCGAAACAATTGATGGTAGAAGATGCAATATAGTTAGAAATAAATAATTCAGGCGATTGTTTTAAAAAAAAATTAAATGTTTAAAAATTATTTTAGGATTTAGGTTATTTACTTTAGTGCACGTGAATTTTTTATGAGAAAATGACAAATTTTGTAAAATGTATTAATAAATAGAACTCGTCATATAAATGAAAAAAAAATTGTATGAAACTCATTATGTCCTTGTGACGACTTTTAATTATTTATTATATTTTATGAAACTCGTCAGTCTCCCGTGACGAGTTCTACATATATTATAATAAATAATTTAAATCCCAAAATAATTTTTAAACTCAAGTATTTCTCAGTTTTTTTTACCTGAATTATTTAGACAAAAAAATCTTAAAAGATGTATAGAAAACCATGTAACGAAAGGGAGAGGTGGAAGTAGGGACATTTTTTTATTGAATAGATAATATTTTATTTAGTTATTTCATTTTCTTCACTGAATTTGCTGGCCCTACCATTCCCGACGAGGGAGTGAGAAGTTAGAATTACTCTAATATTATTATAATATTTGTTGGATACATTATTATATATAAAACAATAATTTATTTTGAACATTTTTTATCTAGAAAAAAAAGAAAAGAAAATTTTACTTGTAATAAATATTAAGTTTATAATGTAGGAAAAAGAAAAGATATTAACTGAGAGCTTCTCGGCTACTTCGCCATTCAGACATAGAAGCAAAGCTGCAAAAAGAGCTCGATGTTGTCCTTGAGCAAGTGGAGAGCTTATGGAAACAAAAATCGAGATGCGAGTGGTTTATTCAAGGTGATCGCAACACACAATTTTTCCGCATCATGGTTCGAGTACGATGGTGATATGATAACATAGCTACCTTACGGTCAGTTGATGGAGTTTGGATTTCAGACCAAACTTTACTTCGACAAGGTGCAATAAACTTTTATTCGCCCATCTTTACTAATGTAGGAACGGTGGGATACATGTACCATGTACGTGGCCAGTTCCCACGTCTCGGGCATGGGACTTCAATGGGTGTGACGACACTGATTTTCGATGATGAAGTTAGGCGAGCGTTGTTCGACATGAGTCCATCCAAAGCCCCCGGAGTCAATGAATTCCATGCTTTCTTTGATCAGAAAAACTGAAAGGGGGTTGGATCCCATTTTTGTCGAGTTGTATGAGATGCTTTTACTACGAAGGTGGTTAAGGAAGAGTTGAAAAAAACCATTCTTACCCCCAGCCCGAAGGTTGAGGCTCCAGAGAACTTTTACCAAATCCGACCTATTAGCCTTTGAGCAGTTCTGTATAAAGTAATTACGAAAGTAATCATGAGCGGCCTCAAGCCTCTTATGCTGAAGCTGATATCTGAGTGTAAGACAAGTTTTGTGCATGGCAGGAGCATTTTAGATAATGTCATCATAACCTAGAAAGTGATTCATTTGATGAGACAAAAGAAAGGAAAAATGGGTTGGGTGGCCATTAAGAGTGACTTAAAGAAGATATGTGACAGTTTAGAATGGTCCATTATAAATGATACGCTATTTGAGATAGGGTGCCCGAATGATTTAAGGGAATTAATGTTGAAAGTCAAGCCATTTCGGTGCATCGAGCTCCATCAACTGCAATAGAGCTGAAGACACCAATGGAGATGTGGACTGGTAAACCAACTGATTATTCAAACCTCCATGTATTTGGAAGTATTGTGTACGTGATGTATAACTCCCAAGAAATCTCAAAGCTGGATCCAAAATCCAGGAAATGCAAATTTTGGGGTATGCTGATGGAGTCAAGGGGTATCGCTTGTGGGATCCCACTGCCCGCAAAGTGATCATCAGCAGGGATGTTATCTTTGTAGAAGATAAACTACAAAGAAAAGAAGACGATGATATCACTGAAAAGTCAGAGACTACACAGATACATGTGGAAAAGGAGGTTGAAGAATGAGATTCTTCTTAAGCAGAACCAGCACATGATGAACAAGAACCAGAGAGTTCTGAAGCTCCAACAACTCATCAATCAGATCGTGTGAGAAGACGTCCCAATTGGCACTCAGATTATATTATAGAAGGAAATGTTGCATACTGCCTTTTAACAGAGGACGGTGAGCCATCAACATACCAGGAGGCAATAAACAGCTCAGATGCTTCACTGTGGATGATGGCGATGCAAGAAGAAATCGAAGCCCTTCATAAGAATAATACATGGGACCTTGTGCCACTACCACAAGGAAGGAAGGCAATTGGTAACAAATGGGTCTTCAAAATCAAGCGAAATGGTGACGATCAAGTAGAGAGGTATCGTGCAAGACTGGTGGTCAAAGGATATTCTCAAAAAGAAGGTATTGATTTCAATGAAATATTTTCTCCTGTGGTTCGACTAACAACAGTTCGAGTAGTTTTGGCAATGTGTGCTACATTGAATTTATATCTAGAGAAGCTAGATGTTAAAACAACTTTTCTTCATGGAAATCTTGAAGAAGAGATTTACATGCTCCAGCATGAAGGTTTTGAAGAAAAAGAAAAGAAGAACTTGGTTTGGAGGTTGAACAAATCTCTGTACGGTCTAAAGCAGGCGCCGAGGTGTTGGTATAAGAGATTTGATTCATTCATTATGTGCCTTGGATACAACAGACTTAATGCAGACCCTTGTGCTTATTTCAAGAGGTCTAGTGATAACAATTTTGTTATATTGCTGTTGTATGTGGATGACATGTTGGTTGCAGGACCCAACAAAGATCATATTGAAGAATTAAAGGCACAAATGGCTAGGGAATTTGAAATGAAGGACTTGGGATCAGCAAACAAGATTCTAGGGATGCAAATTCACCGAGACAGAAGTAATAGGAAGATTTGGCTTTCATAAAAGAATTACTTAAAAAAGATCTTGTCACGATTCAGTATGCAAGATTGTAAGCCAATTTCTACCCCTCTTCCTATTAACTTTAAATTATCCTCCAGTATGAGTCCTAGCAGTGAATAAGAGAGGATGGAGATGTCTCGAGTACCGTATGCATCAGTAGTGGGAAGTTTAATGTTCGCTATGATATGCACAAGACCAGATATTGCACAAGAAGTGGGAGTGGTTAGTTGGTACATGGCGAATCCAGGCATAGAGCATTGGAATACAATAAAGAGGATCTGAGATACATCAAAGAGACCTCAAATGTTGCATTATGTTACGGAGAATCAAATTTACTAATCAATGGGTATGTAGATTCTGACTATGTAGGGGATTTGGATAAAAGCAAATCTACTATAGGGTATGTGTTCAAAGTTGCTGGTGGAGCTATAAGCTGGGTTTCAAAATTGCAATCAGTTGTGGCTACGTCAACAACAGAAGAAGAATATGTAGCATCTACACAAGCCAGTAAAGAAGTAATTTGGTTGAAGATGCTATTGAAGGAGCTTGGGTACAATCAAGAGTATGTCTCTCTATTTTGTGATAGTCAAAGCGCCTTGCATCTAGCAAGGAATCCAACATTTCATTCAAGGACAAAACACATACGAGTTCAGTACCATTTCATTCGTGAAAAGGTGGAAGAAGGGACAATAGATATGCAGAAGATCCATACCAAAGACAACATAGCATATTTCATGACGAAGGCGATCAATGCTGATAAATTTACCTAGTGTCGATCCTCCTGTGGCCTGTCAGAAACGTAAGCAACATGAAGGTACAAGGTAGAAAGAATGGTGTGAAGATATGATTGTTCCATTCAAATCTTCAAGTGGGAGATTATTGAAAGTCAAGCCATTTTGGTGCAATTAATGCACTGAATGGCAATTGTCAAAAGGCTTGGGCTACAGAAATTGTTTTCAACATTCGGTGCAGCATTTGTTGATTTTTCAACAATGGTAAAACCTCAATTTTAGCCATTATAATTTAGGGTATTTACAAATTAGTCCTTAAAGCTTCAACTATAAATACCCTAGCTCATTTAGCTTCAAAACCATCCCAAAGCATTCTAGCTTTCTTCCAATACTAGAGAGAATTTAGAGAGTTTCTTGAGAGTTGTTTTCTCCTTTTTATCAAGAGAGAATTATCATTGTTTTCTCCTTGGTAGATCGAAAGAAGTTGTAATTCCTATTTTCTCATAGTGAAATTCTTCTACCGTTGCCCGTGGTTTTTACCCTATTTTATTTAGGGGTTTTCCACGTAAAATTTGTGTCTCTTTTTTTCTTTATTTTTATTTTCTCAAATTATCAGTTACGATTTTGCTCTATCCGATAGCCGTCTTCCGCAACAATTAATAATGAGTTGTGTCTCAACAACTTCTATCCAAAATTCATGGAATGAGGTTTTAACAGATTCTTTTCGCCCTACCAAGGGAATTGGACAAGGAGATTCATTCTCCCCTTATTCGTTCATCTTATGCGTGGATCGCCTAGCACATGTCATCCAAACAGTAGTAGCGAATGACATCCGAAAACCAGTGATATTAAGCGAAGGACCCGCACTATCACACTTGTTTTTTTGCGGACGACTTAGATTTATTTGCGGA